AAAAAAATAGTCTAATTATTTGAAAATGTGTATAATAATGTTTATTAGTTAGCCGAAAAAGCAGAATTGAAATATATGAAGCCTGCACATAGTTATTGAKTGTTTCCACTTATCGYGATCACACTGTATATAATAATTATAAATAAATTTGTACAAATTAACGTGAAATTAACAAGCTCAATTCAAATCATTTCGTCAAAAATTTATTTATATTATGTATAATTACATTGTATACTATGACACTATATGTAATCTAATAAATTATTATCAAAACTCAAAACTACCTTATGAAATGCTTTTATAATAATATGTTCATTGTTCATGTAATCACTTGATGTGTAAAATGTATTTTGTGAACTACGTAATAACATAAAGGAATACTTTTACACATCGCACCATATACGATGTTTAGTATAAGCATTATACCTATTATTTACCTATATTGATTATTGTTTGATGGCCAACACGATCGCATTAAATCCGAATATACATCAGTCAACGAAGTCTTTCATTTAAAAGTCCATAAACCTTGCACATAGTACCTGTACCATATTATAACAATTATTTTAGTCGAGATGTTATTACCGAAAAAACATGCTATCTAAACTGTTTTAACTCGGTCTACTTAGTACTTATTGATAACGTATCGTTTAATAATAATATCGAATAACTGGCCTGTAGACTGTAGTAGTACTTATACTAAATTAAAATCGATTATTTGTTTTATTTTATTTTTTTGACTGTCAAACACGAAAAAATCACCCGAGTATGATAGAAATCACGGATTAATTTTGGTATTAATATATTATGAAAAAAAGTTTTAGCGATCGCTATTTATATAATACAACGCACGCCGAATAAAAATAAACTCGTTGACCTAAAAACAAAATGGCATTTTTATGGATTTGCTTTTCGTGCCGTTCGCCTTTTAAACGAACAGTGGAGGTTTTGTAGTAGAAGTAGTATACACCATATTTCTGAGTGTATAATATGTCTAARTAGTATTTTACTATACACGTGGATTACAATAGTGGTTGTTTTTTTATTTTTATTTTTTTTTTAGTCTTGCAAATGTGTGAAAGTAAATTCAAGTGCTAAAACAACGGAATTGAAAATACTCATGCATGTATGTGTGTCTGTGTGCGTGTGTGTGTATGTAAGCCATTATAATATGTACGTTACGAAAGTGCCAAGTTTTTGGAATTGCATTACACTTGTTGACAGGTGCGTTTGTTGCGGCGGCGGAAGTAGTGGCAATATCGCACTACAGGTATAAATCGACCAACGACGGAAAAAAAGAAATCATTGAAATATTCCTCGTTTAAATTATATGTTATACGTATATAATATTATAGTAGGAAATATGCATACATACAACACATCGAAAATACAATCGTTTACCCGGGTAAATATTACTTTTTAAAATTTGTTTTTAAGCCTTTTTTAATCACGACACCTTGTGTACACCGCTGCGTATATAGTAATAATAATAATGTACACATACTGCCAATTATATGATATTTTTTTTTGTTTTCGTGATGTAAACGCAACGTTGGCGGTTGTGATCAGCCACCACGTTAAGTGCATAAGGGTTTTGTTCGTCCAATATTGTTAGTTTTGTACGCGCCAAAGAGGACAAAAAAAAAAAAACAAAATATATAAAATTTAAAACCACGTACTTTAAGTTTTAATTGAATTTTAAGCTTTTACACTTTTTATCCAATTATACATAATACGGTGCGATGTACGAATCTTCCACGTGCGCGACTTGGGATGATAAATCCCAACAGTTTCAATAATAATAATATAAGAGAATATTATATTGTATTGAGTGGTTACGTCACGTTAGTCTCGTTATCTACATAATATACCAATACAAAACATGTTATTATTTAATTTGTTACTCAGTGATTGARWAGTGCATTTTTCACTAATACGGTTGAAAATAATATTTTARAGAAGAATAACATTTAGATTTGTTACTTTTGACACAATACATTATGCTGTAGACTTTATATAATATATAATCATTATTTAAATATGGATTTCTGTGGCATTTGATTTTTGATTTCTACCAATAAAAAAAATAATATAAATCAGCTTTTTTTACAGATCTTTGAACTTTTGACACTATTTATTCCTCGATAATATTTGTAAAGGTAAGGTAATACTGTTATAAAAAATATACCTAAACAATATAAACTGTTGCTTCATAATATGTGTTAAAATATTGTTTTGATATCGGATTAGTGGTTCGGATTTTTGACGATAGAATAATAGAATACTTGGGGTAGAGCACTTTATTCACCTCATGACATAATACATAATTATATTATTTTTATATGGTTAAATGTTGAATATTAGACATACGCGTAACGTGAGTTCTCGCGACAGGACGAAGCGTGCGTGCCGGAACCGTTGGAGTTTGGAATTAAATGTACGTGCATTCTCGTGGTTGGCTTAAATCGTAATTTGCTAAAGAATATATACCTACTTTRTTGGTTTTCATTGAAAACCATTTCATATTCCGTACCATATAATATTAAATTCAATATATTCCATTGAAGTTTTGGTTAAAGTGGTACACTTTTCTTATACAACTATTTTGACACCGATTAAAATTGTGACTTCGTTTACGACACCGATAACCGCAATTCGCTTTCATGGTTTTGACATTTAAATTACTACCGTTTTCCAATTTAACGTTCAATTTTATTGTTTTTAATTACGACTAAGGCGTATTCCCAAGAATGTATTWAAAAAAACTCTGGTCCATTTAAAATCTGTGATTTAAAATACAACTTAAAAATCTAATTTATGTATAAAATATCTTTAAAAATTACTCTAAAAAAATGTATAATGATAATATAATATAATTATATTATGATTTTCGTGGGAATTAAGTTGTTCGATTTATAATGTAATGTAATCTAACCTAGTTACAGCGTGTTTGTGTTAAAACTGAAGATCAGATTTACAAGCATCCAAATACGAGGGTTCTAATATATGTATCTGTGTAATAATAAGTATAATTAAGTAACAACTTAATATATATATATATATATATATAATTATGAACTTAAAACACGTTGAAACACGATCTATAAATAATATTTCTTCAACTTCTTTTTCTGGAGTTTAATATGTCTTAAGAATTTTTACCATCATCTCATTCCCTTTCTACTTCTCTCGATCCTAAAATATTTTTGTCCATTATTTTACTTTAGTTCCATCAATTTCTTCTCTATAGCACTCAGCCATATTTTCCTGTGCCAACTTCGAGATCATTTTCCCGCTGACTTTAAATTCATGATTGCTCTCCTTATATTTCTCTCATTTCTCCACATCAGGTTCACAAAACTTACTTAAAGTTTATTCTAAGGTATCATCTTCTAGAGTAAATACAGTTAGACTTAAAGTGTTTGAAATAAATTACAAGACCAAAAATTCCACGTTTTATGTTTTTTGATAATAGTATGCGAATTTCGTAAATTCACTACTCACTAAACAATAATAAGGCATGCCTGTTGTAGTAGTTGTAGTGACACAAAACAAATGTTGATTACTCAATTCCTTCAATAATATATCAAAAAAAAATAACACGTACCTAGATGAATTAAATATTCATTGCCCTAGTCTTGAAGTTTTTTCAAAATTGTATAGGCTTCCTGACCTAAGACATTATATCATATTATATTTTATATAATAAACTACTTCCAATAAAACGACAAATTATTATGTGCATGAAAAAAAAATAAGATGACAAGGCTAAAATATGTGAGTCCATGAAAGTTATAGTAGCTCCATGCATTTTACGCACAAGGTATAATATAAGGGAGTAAGATTGAATCGTAAACTGCATCATCTTCTAACTTTATAGTCGCGCCATGTTGGTATATTAATAAACTATATTGTAGGACAAAATAACAATAGAATTTTTCATCATATACTTCACTTCACACATATTATATCATATATTATAATATTTTATTATGACGTGTATGTATATATGAGTGGTCTATAGATAAATTGTATAGGCACATAACTTCGACGGGGATATTAGTTTTTTTTATTATTATTTCCCCAGATTTGACAGTGTATATTACTACATAATATATTATTTTTTCTCTACTCAGTCTTGCTTGCAGTTTCATACTAGCTGACACAATTCAGTTTATCTTTAATACCTTAAAGGCAGGATATGGCCAAACTTTGTTGGCAAAAACTTACTTATTAACATTACACACACATGCATACAMGCACTCACGCACGCACGCTTGCATGCGTACGCAAACACCCATTCATTTTTCCCGTGTTGTGCACGGGGGTTGGAGGATGAATAAGACCCTAAGTCACTAATTCGTATAATGTTATACTTAACCATAATACTCCCTATAGTGACCTACCTATGTATAAACATCTTAACTCATCCAACTGTCCCAAACAGTGTTTACAATTGTTTACATTTTTTAACAATATCATGCTAAATAATTGGCTGTTTGGTTTAAGTATAAATAGAGTTGCTTGATTGTGACGGTAAATATTTTAAAATATATTAATTATTAATTACTTAAGGTATTTCGATATCAAAAATTTTCGCTCAAGTTCACAAATTATATTTAAGCCTAATAATTATTTAATGTACCTACGGATATACACGTAATATATTATTATACATATACAGTATTGCCTACATATTATGATGATAGTATGTATATGATATAACATGGAATGATAATATTATAAATAAACATGGTGTCCCAAAGAGATCTGACATTCTGACAAATGAAATAACTTTTGTTCTAATCAATATTTTTAAAAAATTTCTTTTAAATATAATTCATAGCCACTTGCGCTACATTTTTTATTTTTTAATAATGAAAATAAAAAACTTAAAAATTGATAAATTTTTTTTCGAAATATTCAGTATAGCCAATTTATAAATTTGATTTTCAGAAAAATTCATATGGTAAAAACACTTATTTAAGTCAATAGACTGATTTTTTAAAATTTTTTTAAATATCAATATTTTTGTTAGGTAGGTAAATTATAATAATTTATAGTTTATACATCACATATTATTAAAATAAAGACAATAAAAAAAAATAATTAGATTTTAACATGCACTTATTTAAAAATGTTCTTATAAAATATTTAAAAAAAAAACTTTATTATCATTTGAAATTAGAAGGTTTCTAATATAAACTAGATCGTAATTTACTTAACAAAAATATTGATATTTAAAAAAATTGGAAAAAATCAGCCATTTGACTCAAAAGTGTTTTTACCATATAAATTTTTCTAAAAATTATGAAATATTGAATATCTCAAAAAACTTTTTTATCAATTTTTAAGTTTTTTATTTTCAGTATTAAAAAATAAAAAAATTAAAAAATGTATTCTAAAAATGTAGCGCAAGTGTCTATGATTACATTTAAAAGAAATTTTTTAAAAATATTGATTAGAACAAAAGTTATTTCATTTGTCAGAATGTCAGATCTCTGTGGGACACTCTGTATTGAAAATAATATATGAGTGACTTGGTGTGTCTGATTATACGTATCACTTATCACTGGTTGCTAGATCCCGGATAGATAACCACCTGGATTTTTAGCGACAAATACATACATTATGAGTTTCAAACCAACCGTTCCACACTACAAACAGATAATGGCCATAGGCGCCGGGCTTATGATTATTAAAAAAATAAAAATAATAATATTAACAACAGGTATTATTAAATCGAGTTTATTGTTTCGTTAATGAATAGAGTATGTAAATAATTGATATTTAACTTTGATGTTAATGAAAACCGAAAAATTTTAAAATGCGAGACTAATGGTATGAAAATGATAAGATGAGATGAAAAGTTAAATAATTTTGATGTGAACTACAATATTATTATTTT